AGGTCTTCCTTAAGGAGGTATAGGCAGGCACAACTCAATTCTTAGAACGCTGGCAAAAGCTATATCTCGTCTTGGTAAACAACACTTGTCTACTTCTTCCTCAAAGGCCTTCGTAGCAACAGTAACCTAAAATTTTACTCTTAAAGTAAACCCGACTACTATGCACATAACAGATACTTATTGCCGGAAAAAATCCGTTAGTGGACCATGCAACCTTTGAATATACCCCCGGGAAAGACCTGTGTGTCAGTCTTCGGTGTACTTACGATATGTGCGTATATTTCCGCTCAAACTGTGGGTTGCGCAGCCAGTTCGAACTACTTGTATAGCATTCACAGACATCTGTAAGAATTAATTGCATTATCTGACAATTAGGTTTGACCTCCAAACGTTATTCGGAATATTCGCTGACAACCAATAGACGCTAAAGTGGGTTTTCGTGGGGCATTTAAAATCGTTCGATAAGATTTATGTTGTACTCTCAAAATTTCAGCCTTGAACGCAGCCGGTGAAGTCAGCCAACGGCGGCATAGTGTAGACCTTAAAGAGTCAATGATCAGTCAAGGATGTTGTGGTTTTATTCTCGCACATCTCGTTGATGTGAACCACTACGCCGACGCCAAGGAGGCCTTTCGGATGGTCTACGGGGCCACAGCAAATTAATCTAAAAACCTGCATCAACAGGTGCTAGCAACGGTCGAGGTGATTGCTAGTCGGTTGCTGAATCTAGCGTTTTGTTTCAAGAAGACCCTGATACAGTCATGTTGACTTCTCCTAACCCATACCAGGCTGTGGTTTTCCGCTTGGTAGTAATCCTACCTCGTCCAGTTCACTCGCTAAGATCTGCTCAAACTTGTAGACCTGGTGGCCAGGCTTCCGGCTCCGAAGGTTTCGCGGATTTTTTACGTTTAACCCCTTTAAGAATAATATACCTTCCCGTTTTGTAGTCCTTCACCTCATCACGCATAATATAACGCTTTAAGACTTGACAAACAACAAGTACTACGACCACTTTGTCTACGTAGACAAAGTAATTTACCCTAATAATGCATTCAAAGTCAGAGAATGTTCCAGCCAGATTACGCGCCAGCTGATGAAACAGTCATGTACTACCATACGACTACTTTATTAAATTATAAAAATAAGCAGGCTTTATTCCATAATCAGTCATTAAACAGTATTCCATTTTCAGGCATCTTTCTGCGCAATCTGCCAGCTTTGACTTGGCTTATGCATTAAATTCTGAGCACTAGACTGAAATTCGCTTATCGATTTCCCACCATGGTGCCTTTGATCCTTCATTACGAGCGCAGACGGGACCGCTTGTCAGAATTATATACTTCGAGGCTTTCTCCCCGCCTTCACCATGTTCGAAAATCAGAGGTAAGTCAAGAAATAGTGATGGGATAACTAGAACTGGCTGCTAAGATATATTCCTGGTGAAAATATACAGTTCTGTTGAACAACTGAATATGACTTTATTCAGTCAGTTGCTGGACATAGAGTACGTACTCCTGATTGAGGACTGAGATCTCATTACCTTTGTTTGTAGGTATGGCCGTTAATTTTTGTTTTGCCCCGCCCCGCCAGGGATCGCAACAGCCATGAGACCCCAATCTGGACATGTATCACTCTATTGTATGGTTTCCTCTGATGAGGGATTCTCGACAGAATCCGAAACGCCAGGAAAATAAACTTCTTGTTCAAATGATCGCACCGTCTACCTCTGAGTCATGAGTATTTCAACCTACCTGGTTTGAGTAATACGAAAATGATGGATAGAAAGGTAAAATCTTCTTTGTAGCTCAGTATTTGATGCGAGTACATGGTGTGTGCTTTCTACACTGTCACATCAAGGGCAATGCTTCAAAGACCATGTTGACCCTACAGCTTCTTGGAATCTCCTTCTATTGAAATTGTCTGTTAATGAGGAAAAAGAAGACAGTACCAGTCACAGAGCCCATGCTTTAAGTAGTCCGGTCAACTTTCTGACAAGAATAATCACGAATACTACGCTATAGGAGTCTTTCAAGACAGAAAAAGTGCATAACTAGGTGGAGAAACAGATGATGTTAGTTTTGTATCTTATGTGCTGATTACCTTCTACTTTGCAGAAAAACGGCGGTAAAAATTAAATAAAACTCTTAGACTTATTTGCTCCATAAATTTCTCCACATCACACGTTAGCTTCCACATTTTATAGTCTATGCATCGAACAATTTAGAGGAAAAAGTTGAGGGAGATATTTATGCAACTTACGTGGAAAACTGACTCCCACATATGCAACACCAACCATTGCCATACTTGAGCTCCATTTGGTGTTTAACATATTTGCAAATATGATCCAGCTCAGTTGTCTCCTCTAAGGCCTCCATTCCCATCTGCACTATAGCTTTCTGCTGATCATCAGGAAGTTTGCAATCATAGACAATTGCATCAAATAGATTGGGATCCTTCGACATAACCGGGGCAGAGCAGGTGAAGGTTTGGCACGATTAACTAATCTGCAGAGATGGCATTAGCCTTGCTTTGGCAAACGGAATTCAGGGGGTGCGACTGTTAACCAATCAGAGGCCATGTGACTCGCCATCGTGTTTTGCAAACACATGCAACAGCAAGGTCGAGTCATCACCAGTCTCTTTCATTCGCCGGCGCACTGTCGCACCTAAGCCACCTGGTTCGTTTTTCTGCCGCACCATGCGGACTAGTTATGCACCCTGTGAATTGCAACTCAAGGGTAGATAGCCGTGTCCTCACGGTTGCCCCAATAGAAATTTTCTCCAGACAGCGCACTGCCAGCTTCATTAATCAATAAGATGGTCATTGCATTAGCGACTGTTTACTGCCTTAG